GTTCAGCAATTTCTTTCTGTGTCTTACCCTCTTGCTTGAGGGTGTCAATGATGGCCTTCTGGACAGCAGTCAGGTCGGCAGTCTTACCCATGATTGCGGTTTTGAGTAATGAACAAGGCTGGGAGTTTTTAAAAGCCTCAGGAATCTTTTGCAGGTGTTTAGAGTTACGTCGTTGATTCAGATGGTTAGGTTAATAGCTTGTTTAGAGAAACTTTTCATGATATGCTAATTTTTTGGGACAGGTATTTTGGGTTTTCATGAGCTGTATGCCATAATCATCAGTATTAAAACAATTAAAGACCTGAAATATTTCAGTTGGTGTGCAATGAATCTGAAATATATGAAAGTTTCATTTTTATCATTACATTATGGAAAATAATGACATTTATCACAATATGCTAATTTTTTGAGAAGGACCTGTATGTGTGTGTCTTATCTCACTCAGCCTTATAACCTGAATCTCTCACTCTCTGCTCTTTAAAGTGAGAAAGCTCCTCAGATGAGGAGCGAAACGTCTTCTGTTACAAATAAAGTCCAGTTGTTTTTGTATTGAACGCTTTTTGAACCGTTATACTACAATTTAGGACCGTATCATACTTTTATTATTTCATTTGATGCCTATGTTTATTAAATGTTTGAATGTTAAATGGTTATTGTTGCACCAGGGGTCTGAGAGTAATGTAATTTCAATCTTGTGTGTACATATTGCAGTTTTGACAATAAAGATGACTTTGACTTTTTGAGAAAAGACATTAAAACCTTTTGGGGTTGAGCTGCTTTAAGTGTTTTGTTTCTCACTGACAGCATGTAGGTGCTTGGGGTGTTCACTCACCAGTGGAGGCTTCGAGTATCCAACTGCATGCCCATATCAGAGCTCCTGCGAGCACAGCAGAGTAGAGATAGAGCTCATATCTGGGCAGAGCAGCTTTGATCCCCATGGTGAGTCTGCTGCAGGAAGCCTAACGATGTAACACACAGTTAGACCTGTCTGAAGGCAAACACATGCACACATTTAGATATAGATCCTTGAGGGGGTTTTAAGTCACAGAGTCTGGAAGGAATAACTGAGCTTAGCCAAGTCATCAGTCTCATTTATAAGTTGGAGATAATCAAATCATTTGATAAAAGGCAGATATTTACTTTAAACCATATTTTGACCCATGTTTTTGGAGGTGAAGACTTTGTTCTGTCCTCTCAGTATTTATGAATATTGTTACAAGGACGCATTTTCCTAATAAGCCTTTGGAGCATTGACTGAAATAGGACTGCAGCTCTCCGGCTCCTCGGAATCAGCATCGTCAGCTGCGCAACCCTACCTCTCCTTCCTATTATAGCTCGCAGCTGGCGTGCACGCGGAGGGGCAGTAGGTGTGCACGCGGCTGGGGCAGCTGCAGTGCTATGTGATCTGACTGGGACTCACTGCACAATAATTAGACTGACTGGAATGACCAAGAAAGGTGCACGGGAGGAAGAATCCTTCACGGATCATTACTTTCCTGCGCACAACAGCGCACTGGCGCACGGCACAAGTGCGTGCGCGCGTCAGGCTCTGAGCCGAAGTTAAAGGAGTTGGACTAAAAAGTCTGTTGTGCTGGAGCCGAGATGTTGCCATGGTTTTGCAGGAGTGCGTGCACAAGCAGCGCTGACACCAAGCCGTTAGTAAACCCAATGAAAAGTCTCGTCCGCACTAACCTGCACTGATCCCGCTGCGCAGTCTGGCAACAAGGAGAGGAAACAGAAACAAGTGGCAGGTTCACGTTCACCAGTTCATCCGTCCGTGTGCGCGCTTCCCACTCCCTGCGACCACCAGCCAGGAGGAGGAGGAGGAGGACGAGGAGGAGGACGAGGAGGAGGAGGAGGAGGAGGGGGATATATTTATCCTTCACTGCAGTAAGGGGTGGTCCGCAGAGTCCAAACCCTCTGACAATGATGGTTTCATTGATAATCTAAATATAGGTCAATAAATTAAAATACAGTGAAAACAGATAATAATAAAGTGACTTGTGCATCTTTCCGGTTATTAGTTTAAGATCATTTGGTAAATGGATGGACTGTACTTATACAGCACCTTTCTATCTTATTTCAAGATACTCAAAGCTCTTTACACAACAATCTATGTCCTCATTTACCCATTCATACAGCTCTATACTAGATCTGTACAAAGCTAATTGAACAAATCATTCTAAAGATTCAGTGGGGTTCAGTGTCTTGCCCAGGGACACTTCAGCATGTGACTGCTGGTGGATTCGAACCCCCAACTCTCACACTGGAGGACGACTGCTCTAACCACTCAGCCACAGCCGCCCCATATCTTGTGCACAGTTATGACTTAATTAGTTATTTTGTTAGAATTTTTCATATCCTAAAGATTGATTTGTCTTATTTTAGTCCTCTGGTTTTCATTCATGCTCATTTTACACATTGTTGTTGTTTATATATAAATGTTGGTTTATAGTCTCTTCTGTGTGTTTATTGTCGGCTTTATATTTGTAAATATTGTTGCTCTCATTTTTATCTCACTTGCATAGAAATCTATGAATATAAAACAACCTGAACTGAAGGACATAATAATATAACACGGAGAATTAAAAGAACTTTTCCACATTTTTGTGACAATAAAACCACAAACTTCTAAAAGTTTTACTGGGACATTGTGTGATGGACTAACATGAAGAAATGCATTATGGGAAGTAGAAACATTCATAATGGCCATGGCTGCCTCAGAGGAGCCAACGGAGGAGAGGGCGGACTCCAGAAACCATCTGAGCACCATCAAACTGGCTGGCCCACTGTGTGAAGGTGCTGCTTGTGAGACTGAGTTTGTTGTGGCGCCTCGGACTGATGAAGTCCTTTGGATGAAGGATGAAACGTTTCAACAAAAAAAAGAAACCGTCTGGAGGACCTGGCTTCACTTTAAATACAGATTTTTATTGTAATGATTTAGATCAAAGCTCATGTTTTAGAGAGGCCCTGTTCAGATGCTGTGCACCTCCTGGGGGAGGTGTTCCCAGAGAAGATGCACAACCCCTGCAGAGAGTTCTGGCTCCATGGGCCTCCTATCAGACAGATGGGCCAAAAAAAACCTCCAAAGGGAGGCGTCCAGGAGGTGTCCCTATCTGATGAATCTCCTCAACTGACTCCTTTCGATGTGAATGAGGAGCAGCTCTACTCCAAACTCCCTCCGGATGACGGTGCTCCTCCTCCTGTCTGAGCCCGGCCACCCTACGAAGGAAGCCCGTTTCAGCTGCTGGATCCTGGATCTGGTTCTTTCAGTCCTGATCCAAATCTCATGACCACAGGTGAGGGTTGGAACATGGACAGACCAGTGAATCCAGAGCTTTGCCTTTAGAATCATCTCTTTCTTCACCACAACTGATCAAAACAACACCCTCATTACTGAGGACGAGGCCCCAATCCATGTCCTGCTCCATCGTACCATCACAGCCCAGACACCCGAACTCCTCCACCTGAGAGCTGACTCCTTCCAGCCACTTCACACTCGGCTGTGGACCACCTCAGTGCACGCCGAAGGGCCTGAAGCCGCCAGCAGAACCATCATCCAAGCAGAAACCCTGAGGGTCCCAAACCAGACCCCTCCTTGCCACGACCCAGCCTTCAGATCCTGTCCACGAAGACCTCAAACAGGACCAGAGACAGTCCCACATGATCACATTAAATTCATTTAAACTATGTTTGTTATTTTGCTTAGAGCCTTCACAATTCATCTAAACTGAATGAAAAATATAGATCAAAATGAAAAGTGACAACACAAAACTATACAAAAACAATCAAATTTACCATAATGACTGTAAGCTCTCCTGAAATACACATTATTGGTGGTGATTTAACAAAAGATGATAATTGAATCAGTAAGTACTAAAAATAAAGTCATTAATGAAAACATAAATGGAGGTTTTGTTGAATATAAACATGTGAACCTTGTACAGGTATATATATATATAC